TCAATTTACATGGATATTTTTGTACGATTTAGAAGGTAATTATGATGTATGATACACTTCATATTTTTTAAGAGGATAAATTTCATGCTCTGTTCTTACCATAGTACATTTTTTTTAGAACCACAATAAATATGTATATATATATATTTTTGGATTTTATTTATTTATTTGACAGAGAGAGACACAGCGAAGCAGGAACACAAGCAGGGAGAGTGGGAGAGGGAGAAGCAGGCTTCCCGGCAAGCAGGGAACCTGATGTGGGGCTCAATCCCAGGACCCTGGGATCATGACCTGAGCCGAAGGCAGACGTTTAACGACTGAGCCACCCAGGCATCCCCACAATAAATATTTTTAAAGTGCAACGTGTCTTTTTAAAACATCAGGAAAAGTTCTATAGAAATCAGCTATGAAAAGTTCATGCATCATATTTGCCAATGATGGTATCTAATTAACTCAATTATGGTAAACAAATATCAGTGATCTTTACAGACTTATTTGTCTTTTATGGGGACTCCTTGATAAAGTCTCAGTTTCTGGAGTTCAGTAGAATCAGCCACGACAAGTTCAATACTACATAATCAAGCACAAACTGGCCCAAGCTTAATATCATGAAATCTGCTGTGGTCTGTGGCTCCAGTGTAAGGATAATAGCTAATAACATTGCTAATAATTTCTGAATGATTAATCTATGCCAGGCAATTGTGGTAATTTTACATCTATAAAAATTTAGAAATGCATTAAAACCATGGTATCAAGCGAGATTACTTTAACAGGTGAGTGAAGTCGGAAAGAAGAAGACCAAGGACTGAGCCCTGGAGGGCAACGACATTTCGGTGTCAGGACAATAAAGAGAATCTAGCCACGGAGAGTGAGGGGGATGAAAATAAGGACAGGGATGGGGCGCCTGGGTGGCTCAGTCGTTAAGCGTCTGCCTTCGGCTCATATCATGATCTCAGGTCCTGGGATCGAGCCCCACATCGGGCTCCCTGCTTGGCGGGAAGCCTGCTTCTCCCTCTCCCACTCCCCCTGCTTGTGTTCCCTCTCTCGCTGTGTCTCTCTCTGTCAAATAAA